AGAGACGTGTAAATACACCGTGGAACTTGGTTAAAGTCGTCATGGAATGTTGAGATTTCATCGTTCTTTTGACGTCTAAATCCCGTGAGAGACTTCCTCCAAACGACCTCCTCCTCCCCCCCTGCGTCTTCGTGACGAGACCTCACCCTTCGTAATGTTAGGCTTTCAGTCGAGAATTTGCGAGTGTGCGGTATGCGATTTAATCTCACATATACGACTTATCTCGAAATTCTCAGAGGTTTTATTGCCCTCTAAACTTATTTAAAAGATACACTCCGATTTCTTTCTAATTTGGCACAAATGTAGAGAGAGAAGTACAAAAAGTATTGATTATATTAACAATATTGATATTAATAATATTTTTTAATTTGGCCCGCTTTGAGTTTCACGGACAGTTTATAGCTTTTTAATGTTCTCACTTCTATCATCAAGTACAACAAAAATGCATAAGAAATAAAATTAAATACAAGATATAGTTAAATAATTTTAACAAAATCGGTACAGCTGAAATATGAACCATTCTAAATATCTTTAGCGAGATTCCAACCAAAATATTTTAAATCTGTGCTAAATTAGTCAAAAAAGATTCGAATCTCGGCTAAACCGAGAAATCCGGCAATTTTAATAAAAATTGTAACAAAACTGGCATAGCTGAGATACGAACCATTCTAAATATCTTTAACCGAAATTCCAACCGAAATATTTTAAATCTGCTAAATTAGTTAAAAATGGTTCGAATCTTGGCCAAAACGAGAAATTATTTTTATAAATAATTTTTTTGAACTTTTTACATATTTTGTTTGAACATTTTTACATATTTTGTTTGAACATTTTATTTATACAAATAATTTTACATTTTTTACTTCATAATCAGCAAACTAAAAACGCCTATAAAATATTTGAGTTGGTCTCGGATATTTAGAATATCTTCGCTAAAGATATTTAGAATGGTTCGTATCTCAGCTATTCCGATTTTGTTAAAATTATTTAACTATATTTTGTATTCAATTTTATTTTTTATGTATTTTTGTTGTACTTATTGATGATAGGAGTGAGAACATTAAAAAGCTATAAACTGCCCGTGAAACTCAAAGTGGGCCAAAATGAAAAATATGACCTAAATATTTTTTGTACTTCTACATTTGTGTCAAATTAGAAAGAATCGGAGCGTAACTTTTGGATAGGTTTACTTGTTAGCCTTTTAGTCTACGTGTTTGTTGAACGTCTGATAATTCCTTTTGTCTCGTCGCTGACGTAACGATCCCTAAGTAGAAAGAGCAACAGCTTTCTAGCCACTGACTAGGAATTTTGATTACTGGCTAATTTCTGATCACTTTAGGAGACGCTTGTTTTGTCAGTAGCTCGACGATAAAACTAGTCAGTTTCTAGCCAATGTTTCATCAGTTTCCAACTATAAACTTTTTCTTATACAAAATTTTATCAAATAATTTTCATCGGTTAATTCTTTATATTGTAAAATACTATATTTTATTATTTCATATAAAAATAATGTAAAACTTGACTTTCAGAAAGTAGGTTTTCTCACTTGCAAATTCATTTATTATTAAGATAGGTGGATCTATATTTTTAATTGCCATTTTTCTTGCCTAGTTTCTGGCTACTAACTGGTCAAGAATTTTTTTTTTTTTTTTTTATTAACTTCCTAGGCAATTTACAATCTGTTTTAAATAAGACAATAAGTAAATTTTATATAGACATTATTAATATGCTGGTATTCTCCCATTGGAGTATACCTTACAATACACAACCACATCTCGATTTAATTTGTATGAGGTTAATTATATGAGGTTAATTATAAATACTGGAGTCAAGAAATATATTAATATTTTTCTATTTAATTTCTGAACAGTTACAATAAATATTCTCGGCCAGTAAAAACTGTCGCAAGTTTCTGTATAGTGACCAGTTTTTTCTAAAAATTTTCTGTTAGGACGACTTATTCATCTCACGTTATTTTCGAAACGCATGATGCACGTGCGTACATACGTATGTATACATGTTTATCTGCCCGAAGGGAAAACTACGACTACGAAGTTCCCTTCTACACTCAGTATTTACCCGGTGTTAATCCGGTGTGGATAACCCAGTTCAGAGGCGAGTACTATCGACGCGAGTGTATATTGCAAATTGAGACAGCCAGCAGAACATTTGAAGAACACGTTTTATCGCGGATTGATATCGATCGCCTCGTAATGACCGGTAGATTGACGCGAAAATATAAAAGCGACTATTTTGCAACGATTGATTAAATTTCTCGGCGCGTGCGATGCTTCTTACACGAGATCACCGTTGCTCCTATGTTCTCACCTCTCTCTCTCTCTCTCTCTCTCTCTCTCTCTCTCTCTTCCTCTCTTCTCTCACTCTCTTCCTCCTTCTCGAATTATCTTCCCTACTTAGGTTGTATATCTTCGTTGTATCCCTCGAACGATCACGCGTAAAAGACGACCTGCTTCGCGCATCGGAGCTAATAATTAATTCACGCCGTATCTCAGGCGGGACTCCGCGCGCCGCTTAATGCAATTCTTAGGAAGACGACGTGAATTATAATTAAGTTCTATTCTCGCAGAGCGAGAGGGGGATTTTAAATATTGCTCTGATATTTATTTTTTTAAAGACAAGCGGCGCGGCAACTAGCGCGATTTATTCACGAGACTCACGTACCATTAGTTTTATGCAGACACGTATTTACTCAATATATTTCGAGATTATACCGTGTTATAATTTCTCAACAGCAGCCAGACTGCGACGCGAATTCTCGCTCTGCGTTTTGCCTTCGGAGACGTGAGCTCTATATATGTAGTAAACAAAATTTTTGTTTTGATTTAAGATAAAAGTACCAATGCCTCTCTTCTCTCTCGACACGTATCTAATCCTGGATATTCTAATTCTTTTGGTTTTTATCAAATACGAATGTTTGAACTTTTAATATAACACACATGTATCGAAAATATACATATATTCTGTTGAAATATTCGTATTTAAAGACCGAAACAATACGAATGTTCAGAATTAGATACGTGTTTAGAATTTGGTATTTTTAACTTAATATTCCCTACTGGAATGCTCACAATTTGCTAGGATTTAAAATACATTTTGAATAAATTTGACTCTTGCGATAAATTTGCAACAAGATTTGCGAATATATAAATTTATAAAATATTTATGAGACAAGTGACGTTTATGTGGATGTAGTATGTATTTTTCTATCTGTGTGTGCACTGGACATATGGAGACAGTTTGAATCGTGATTGACGAAATCGATTGTGCCGAGATACCTACGACAAGATCACTTGTTCGCGATCAGACCACGTCTTTTCGTCTTGGCCGCGGGCGAAATTGCTCCATTCATACCTCGCATACTTCCCAGCGCGCGCACTCTCTCTCTCTCTTTCTCTCGTCTCGCGCTCCCCGGGAGCATGCGTAATTATGAGGCCATCTCTTGCATTCAGGGTTTACCTGGCCGCTACCTGCCGCCGCTGGCGGTGTTGGTAACCTCGTTCTGAATCAAGGCGGTTCGGTCGCCGAGCACGGCCAATCGAGAACGTTTGCGGTCGGTGAATGACTGCGTCGAACGGTGCGCTTGTCAAAGCGCACACCCGATGTATAAACACGGCACACCGCCGCGATACACGTGTGCACACATGTGCACATATGTGTGCGTGCGCGCGCGCGCGCGTATGTGTGTGTGCACACGTGTGTGTGCACGTGCAAACACCGGCGCGTGACGACGCGTGCACATATACACGCCGACGGTGGTTACGTGGGATCTCGTCGTCCATCCGTCCGGCTATAGGCCAGCCGGGGTGTGACAGATTTCACGGGACGACGAGCTAACGAAAAACTAGTCGGCTGTGAGGTGAGAGGACAGAGACTACATCTCTACCCTCCCCGTCGGCTCCTCGTCGCCCCGGGACACCCTCGCTGGACGTATACCGCCTGCTTTTATCCGACATTCCAGCCACCACCGCCAGCTGCCACGAGCCAGACACACTCCGGGGTATCCGGCCCGAGAAATATCGCTCGGTCTTATCGTGGACTTGCAATTGTTGTCTTTCGCGGCTGAGATCTCTCCGAGTGCGAATTAACCCAAATCGAAATACTCGTTCTACAATAATCCTACAAGTTCGAGAGAACTTGGGGTGCGGATGGAGAATCTCGAGATATATAATACTGTACAAACAGTTGTTCTATGTTGCGAACGGCTGCATTGAGAAAAATGCCGTGAGTCGGTCAATAGAATCGGTCAAGAAAATTCCGTGATTGGAATGATCCTCTCGATTCAACAGCAATGTTATTGGAACTGATATTTGAGTTACTAAAACAAGTACATTGTATATTTCAAATTTGTCCAATAACATCGCTATTGAAAGAGAAGATTTATTACAATCACTCTGTTGACCGATTCTATTTATATACTATATATATTTTTATATAACACACACACACACACACACACGTGCGCGCGCGCGCGATCAAAGACCGAAACAGCTAATGATTTGTGAACTTAGATTATTATCGAATCGCAACACAACACTTTCACAGACTATTGTCGCAATTCTAAGCAGAATCGTAAGTCTCGTAAAATTTGTCAGAACTTATGAGTAAATTTACAAGTCTATACAATATCATATGTCGTAAATATCTACGATTTCATGTAATTTACGATATTTATGATATTTACGATATTTAAGTGATTGTACGACATATGATATTATAGATTTGTAAATCTACTCATAAGTTCTGACGAATTTTACGAGAACAAGTTACGAGACTTACGATTCTGCTTAGAATTGCAGCATTAATCTTGTTTATTTATCTTTTTTATATACACAAAGTTCGCGGGTGACTATCGATAGATCAGTAATTACCAAAAATTCTCGTTCATTCGTATCTTTAGTTGTGTATTTCTCACCACTCTTAATTAATCCAGAAAATACGTTCCCGCATTCCAAATTAATCAACAGAAATGCATAGTTATAGATATAATTCGAAAAATCGAAAAATATCTGACTCAATGTATCGAGCATCGAGCTATCGGAAATCGATCTATTGAATGGTCAGCTATTCACGGACTTGAGTGTACAGAGGGCGCATTGCGCGACCGTTTTCGATCTCTTTGCTCCGAGCAACCGCCATTAACACATCGATCGACATCGCTCTGCTTATTACGCGTCCTTGGTCAATCAAAAGTGAGTCTCGTGTGGAAACAAGTGCCGGGAATGCCGGAAACAGCGATGTGCGATCGTCGAGATGTAACGTGAGTACTTCATTAGACAGTAATCTCCTCGTTTTCCGATATATACAGTCGGGTATATATGCTTGTCGATATATGCTTGTCGCGACGCGTCGAGTTGACGTCTCTTACACCCGTCATTACCATCGACTCATTTGAATAGTACTAGAATCGGGCGATCCTCGCATTTATTATGCGGGAATTATGCCCGTATTCATATATTTATATTTAAGGCTTGACTCTATGAGTAAAGTAAACGTCCCAGTGGTCGAACATACATGTTCCAATGACATATTGGTTTTATATTTTTCTTTGTTGAAATGCTTTTCAATATACAAAACAATATAATAAATGAAAAGAAATATTTAGTTACTTTGTGATTTTGTTTCATTTATTGATAAGCATCTTAATAAACACAAGTATATTATCAGTAATTCAATTATCGGTATATATTCAATCACTAGGACGTTTACCTTACGGGCATTAGAAATTTGGTGATAATCAGAGCAAAAGAGAAAGATAAAATGCGATGCGAGAGAGATAGCGCGACGTTGAATTTCTTTGTTGAAATGCTTTTCAATATACAAAACAATATAATAAATGAAAAGAACTATTTAGTTACTTTGTGATTTTGTTTCATTTATTGATAAGCATCTTAACAAACACAAGTATATTATCAGTAATTCAATTATCGGTACATGTTCACTAGGACGTTTACCTTACAGGCATTAGAAATTTGGTGATAATCAGAGCGAAAGAGAAAGATAAAATGCGATGCGAGAGAGATAGCGCGACGTTGAATCTTAGACGGTAACGTCGGTATGTAGTAAGAGGAGACAATTGTATCCGCGAGAGCGCGTACTTGTCGGATCGCGACACGGCGTTTGGCGCGTATTCACGGCGTCTATAATGCATTGCGCGGGGATCATTGTCGTCGATGTTTTTGGGTAACCTGCATTGACACATCGATCAACATCGACCAGCATCGCTCCGCTTTTTACGCGTCTTTAGTCTATCAAAAGTGAGTCTCGTGTGGAAACAAGTGCCGGGAGCGATGTGCGATCGTCGGGATGTAACGTGAGTACTTTATTAGGCAGTAATCTCTTTGTTTTCGGGCACATACAGTCGGTGCTTGTCGCACCGACATCGAGTTGACATCTCTTGCACTCGTTATTTATCATAGAGTTGCTCAAGCAGCAATAAGTCGGGCGATCGTTGGATTTAACCGAGAATTGGAAATACGGCGATGCACATTTATCGCGTAATATCACATTGTATTCGCGTTCATACTCGAATCTAAGGTTAAAATTATCGCTTTTCCACACACAAAGAAATAACTCAATAATATCAGCTAAATCTCAATGGCTCACTCTGAACTTAGCTAAAGGACTAATCGTTTTTTTATCATTGCTAAGAGTTGACTATCACAGGTAATCCCATGCATTCGCTGTGAGATACAAATTTAGTACTTTAGCATAAAAGCGTACATTTGTTTGTGGAGTAACTAAAAAGATAGAAAATATTTTTATAAATATTTTGTGCGAATTCATTTCGACCATTCGCTTTCCTTCACGTCGCTACGTGTCGTCTTATTTGATGCGCTACAATGTTACTGCTTAAGATTACAATTTTACTGCTATCACATATTACAAATTCACGCGCTTGTCGTAACATACGATGTCCTCCTGTGCTAAACATCTCTCGAAGTATCGCAATAAAATCGCGAATAGCCGTGTGCCGCGAATAGAACTGAACTTTGCAATCGAGTCGCGAAGGACACGATAATCGCGATGCGATCCGATTGTTTCTACGAGGAATAATAAAGTGAAAAGCCGACGCAACGCACAAAGAATTCGTCGAGAGTCGTTATCTCCGCGCGGAGGCGAGCCCTCGTTAAGCTCTCGATCCTTTTCCCGACTTTTGCTCCTCGTCGCGACCACCTGCGAGCTCGCCTTGACGAGGGAATCGTCGCAGCGCAATGGAAAAAACCGTACCCCGTCGGGTCGGCGCTCCGTGTAAGTAGTAAAAGCGTTTACGATCCGGCTGGGTCGGTAATTAGAGGAACGTCCGCGCCTCATCCGTTTTCTCCCGTGGGCTTTCTTGCCGTTCATTGTTGCGTTGTTTCGCCGACAGATTCGTTACAGGAATTCGCGGCAGTTTCCGCGACGAGATATGAGATCGGCGCGCGTTTTCAACGATGCATAAAACGCGACTGGCTATCCCGGTGCTTGCCATCGCGTTTTTTACGCTCATTTAATGCTCGATACGACGATACGTTAATTTTCCCCTCGGAGGATTTCGCGGATCGTCTTCGAGAGAAATGCACGTCCTTCTGCAGAGCAAGTCGAATTAATTAAAAAAAAATGCTCGAGATATTCATGAGGTAAAAATATTTCATCCCCAATGGAGACATTAATAACAGTGATACACGGAGAGAATATTATAGTTTCTTGTCATATAAATTCTTTTCAATTTTACTATATTTTTAGTAGCCTAGAAATAGATAGAAAAATTTATCTTGCGGAGAAATATAGTAAATTTCGCCAGATACATATTAAGTGCTTTAATAGCACTCTAATTTTTCTGTTAATTTAATGCAAAGTAAATATGTAAACAAGTAACACAAATAATATGTCAGGAATTAACACATGAGCATGTGAAAAATTTTACACGAAAATTTCTGCGCAGATCGATTTCAATACAAGTACAACATTTTTTAACAACACACTTTGTTACCGCACATATATTCTACGTTGAAAATATTTTGAAGCCAAAACAATAACATTGTCCAGAGTTAGATATTATTTATTATCAGTACCCAGGCATTAATACTTTTACCTTATTCCGAAAATTCGTTTTGAAAGGATCAGTTATAACAGTTATATCAGTTTGTTATAACATTTTGTTCTCCTTTCTTTTGTTAATTCGACTGTCTCGTTTATTACAGCGAAGCTAGAGAAAAAAAAAGAAGAGAAGACGATATTCGTCTCTATTCTTCAAGAAACTTTTAATCCGCGAATTTTTGCTCTCGTTTTTATAAGAGGAGGAAATAGAAGAACAGCGAGTAGTCTAAACAGAATTTTTTCCGAGTGTATGCACGGATTATTGCGAACAACCGCGCATTTACTTTCCCGTTGTGTCCACGGGCGCTGGTATTTGACTGTATTCTGCATTGGATTATAGCATCTGACCGAACGGTGCTCAGTGCTGGCAGGAATTTCGGTATGGCGGTTTGTCGCACAGGTGACAGCCGTTCGATCAGCGTTCCGAGCTCCTGCACACAGAGCCCTTTGTACACGCAATAAGTCTATCGGGTGTCGCACAAGTTGTATCGGTCTCCCGTGGCTCATATATCGCGTGTCAGTACGTAACCAGCTGTAATGAAGCGCTTGATTTATTAATCAATACGTTTTGCCCGTCCTCCAAAATTTCACGCTTCAGTGAACGTGATATAAACGGAACTCGGTCTAGAATTGAAAGTTCATAATTCGAAGAATATCCCGAGCATGCAAATGTTTTAGATAAATCTGTGTTAGTAATTGTTACTTGAAAATTATTTTTATATCTGCAACTAAAATATACTAAAATATTTGGTACGTAAAATTTGAGGTTGGCATTATGTTTTTACTTGCAAATATGTATAATTGAGAAAGCAGTCACATGTATTATTGAGAGAGCAAAACAACAAATTTAGTGATTCTATAATGCAACGAAATTATCACAAAATATTACCAAACATTTGGGAACAAATATCTCATTTTTAAATTTCCGGCCTACTAAATTTCCGTTTCGACAACAAAATCCACTCTTCAGTGCATTTACAGTCGCGAAACAAATTTGTTCTCACTTAATCTTTCTCAACAATCTTGGAAACTGCTGTTCCTTCGCCTCTCGGCGAACACCTTCGTAAGGTCCGTAACGTGAAACGCGATCAATCGTCGTTCATCGACACTGGCACGTATCCGGGAACGCCGTCCATAAAACACCTGTGTTCTTTAATCGCTGGAGGGAAAGTTTGCGGATAATCTGATCCACTTGGTTTTTCTCTCTCCATTTATCTTGTTGACGGGGTGGCGCACAGATTATCGGTCACGATGGTTTGTGACTTTTGTCGGCTATATTATCGCTTTTCGCCGCCTGTGCGGCAAAAACTAAAAAGGGTCAGCGAGATCGTCGTAATTCCACCGGGCGAGATTAGAACGTGCCGTCCAGAGAGGGATGCTGTAGCCCGCCGGGGAGAGAGCTGCGTGCCACCCCCAAACGAGGAACCAAGTTTGCACTAGTAAGGCGGTGCTCGGGCCTGTTTCCCCCCTTCTTATCGACTATTCTCAAGCTCGTGTCTTCGAGTGCATCTGGCATCCTCATGCTGTTGCTTCTTCTTCTATTACTTCCGCTTAGCTCGCGACATAACTTTCGTAATTTCGGAAATCAGGCCGCCCGGCCCTCTACCGCGATCTCCTCCTTACAAATGCGAATCGGCCGGCTTAAAAGAGGCATGAGCAGTCGAGTTCGTGTGAGAAGTTTCGCGAAAACTTCCTCGCGCTTCTCGTGACAATGGTTGAAAAATGTCGAGTGTAATTCACGAGAATCTCAAATTTGAGGATTATAGAAGCCGCGTTCTCCACAGAATCTGAGAGGAGGAATGTGCACTGAGAGAAAAATGTTTGGTATTTGTGACTATATTTAAGTTGTATTTAAAAGAGCATTAAAACGAAACAGTATATATATAAAGTAGGAGCGTTTCTATTGAAGATCAGTGAATACACTCACTAATCATCGGTGAAATAATCTTTTTATTGATTTATTCAGAAACATTTTTAGTGATTCACTTTAAAAGTGCAGTCTTAGCATTCGATAACAGTCGTCTCCGTTTCATGGGAGGGGATTTTACGAGACGCTCGGTGTTTCATATACGAATAAATTATCGAGGTATATCAAGTATAGCGTTGCGTTACGCACCGCGTTAGTAAAATATAACGGCGATATCTCACGAACGTGGTGTCTTCGGGGTAATTGATAGACGG